GGCGCCCGGCGGCCCGACGGGCGACAGCTTCGCCGAGGACGAGCCCGACACAGCCCGCCACGCGCAGCGCTGGCCGACCGGCCGCAAAACATGACCGCCGCCGGCCTGCATCCTGGTGCGCCGCCGCCCGCGCAGTGTTCCTGATCAGCACACAGAAAAACCGTCCCCGGCGACAAAAACGCACGTTCAGGCGGCGGCCGGGCGCTCGGAGATAGGCTGACGTCGGGGCGTCCCGGCCGGTCAGAGGTCAGCGCGCGCTGTCGCCGAGTCGCTGTCGCTGTCGCTCGGCCCGGCAGCCGAGCCATGGGTGACTTCACCCCCAGCACGGCTGCCTGGGCCGACCTGAGTCCGAACGGCGGACCGCCCACGCCGCCGCCTCCGTCACCTGCCCACGCGGCGTGGCCGTCACGCTCACCGTGACGCACTGACGGACCGGCGCTACCCCGAACACGACGGCTCTCCTCGCCCGCGCGCCGGACAGGCACAGGGCTTACAATGGGCCGTCCCCCACCTCATAGGTGCGGCCCGTCAGCGGTCTGCCGCCTCACACACAGCTCGACTGCGGCTCACACTGAAGCCAGGCCAAAGATCCGGTCTCGCCAGTTATTGAGCAGTGCAGTACCAGCCGTTCACTTCTCCGCTAAAATCTGCCGGCTGCCCGTCTTTAAAAAAACGCGTGTAGCAATTTTATTGCCATCTTGCCCTGAAGAATCAATCAAACCAATCGCTGGTCCAGCCGGCGTGATTTACAGCCATGCGGATAAGCGACTCCGAGTTCAGCCCGAGCCATTCGTTCGGGACCTGACTTGGGGACCAACCTGTGCGCTAACACGACATTGCTCAGTGTTAGCGGAACCGATTAAAAATAACACTTGGCAGGCGTGGCCGAGGAGTGCGAGCTGGATACCGTCTTCCAGTTTAACGTCCTACGCACAACCACCGCTGCGCAACCAACGAACAGCAGCGATGCAGCGTGATAAGCACACCATGCGAGATCTTCCACTGATGCATATTAATGTGCCGGGAGCATCGGGTCTTACGCTAATTTGCGCATCGATGGCCGTCGCCAACATCACGTGAGCCGGGCCACGTGACACCAGACCCCCCCCCCCCCCTCACGATCTGTCTCAGTCCGGTGCCAGACCGCCTTCCAGTGGCGGTGGTCAGACCACGTGGCCCGGCGTTGCAGACGACGCCGCGATGTATGTGATTTATCACTGTGACAGGGCGCTCCCGACGCCCCGCTCAAAACACGGCCTGCAGGCCGGCCAGCTGTGGCAGTAGCAGTGTCCACGACGCCGTGGCGGGCTTCTCTGCAAAGGCAGGAAGCCGTGCTCATGTTGAAGACGAGACCCCGCTGTTTCACTGGTGAGATATAAACGATGGCCCGCGGCGCGTGCCGGCCGCGCATCAATGCATTCCAATAAAGTGAGCAAGTGCCAGACTGCAAAGTTCAGCTCGGCGAATAAACCGCATGTTTTCCGCATGGAACGTCGCACCCGCCCGCAGCACCCGCTCACACGCCCCGCCAACGCCCCGCGGCCCACGGTCTCAAACCCCAGCCGACAGGTGTCTCGTGAACCACTCGCTAGCTCGCCGGCCTACTGAAACAGACCGGCAGTGATGCATTGCTGGCGCGAGCTCAGAACAGACGTGGCCTGATCGCCGGTAAGTGCTGTGGCAACAGGTCACCTGATCGCCGGTGAGCGCTGTGGCAACAATTCACCTGATCGCCGGTCAGCGCTGTGGCAACAGGTCACCTGATCGCCGGTCAGCGCTGTGGCAACAGGTCACCTGATCGCCGGTCAGCGCTGTGGCAACAGCTCAGTGTCATAAAATTGCCGACTTGATGTGTCAAACAGGTGTCCAGCACCCTATGAGGACTAGTTTTTCACTCCTTTTCCCAATATTTCACGTAATTTTTTTCACTCCTAACTGATATTGTCTAACCGCGCATAATCAAACCCATATTTCCCTTTCCGAGGTTTTAAGGTGTCATCCAAAACCGAGCTCACTTCAAACCATCAAGCATAAACAAGGCTCCACAGAACCTGGACGTTTTTGGCTATATCCTGCCTCACCTACATCTGATCATGTCTATGTTGCACTGAGGAGGAGCACCAGGTACCTTCAAGCCCGAGAGCCCCGGCGACTCCTGCCGCTCGCATGCATCAAGCTTGGTTTGTTTACAAAATGCATCACATTATGTAGCTGTGTGTCCTATGCAAGGTTTTCACCAATCTCCAATTTGTTTTTGTGGCTCCACGCAACCACCACACCACCAAAGCAAAGCCTGGTACAAACACCAGCAAAGCCTGATAGGGAGTTTTACTCCACGTATGTCTTTTACCCGAAGAAACTTGGCCACTAAACTGCACCACCCCCAAAATCCAGGACTGAAAATCAGGAAATGTCTTCTAAATGAAATTTACAAGCTGAATATCACCGTTTGAGCACTTCTTTTCTCAGAATTTTGGTCAAATCAGCGAATCACAACATCGTACCAAAAAGCTACCAGTCTTTATCTTTATTTAATTACTTTTGTTTTTCTTATCATACCAATGTGATACTTCACGTTCTCTTCCTTTCTGATTGATACCATCTGTGGCTTATGGTAAGTGTTTCCTGAGCATACCCACTACTGTCCTTGATGGGAGCCAACCATAACAACCAGAATAAAATGTTCAAAGCGATTTGAGGGGCTTTGATTTTTGTGTTGTCAACTTGACCTGGTGCTAACAGGCTGGCATAGGTGAACTGAACCAAAATATGGGTTGAAAGCAGCCAAAAATAAGCTTCATCGCGTTTTTATCACATCTGTTGGTGTCAATAAATGGGTAAGGTGAGTCGAGATGATATTCAACATATAGGCTACTCTTTATTAGGTTAACTTGATTAGTTGCATGGCAAGTGGCAGTAGGAATTTAACTGGAGGTAGTGACTCCAAATGCTGCTGTGAATAGGTTAGACAGGATGACATGAGGCAAAGCTTCTCTAGGTTAGGCTTCGTCCGGTTACTTTCATGGAAATAGGCGTTGGTATTTTGCAAGAAACAGTGACATAATATTTGTATTTCCTGACCTCATATTGGCAGAAGCCAGAGGTATGTCTGTTGTGTCTGATTGGGTCATGTGTTGATGTGCAGGAATCCGAGACTTTTTTGTTTGAATGATGCATGCTTGTTGAACTCTTTGTTGTTGTCTTTGTTGTTCAATTCCTTTGCTTTGTTTTGTGTTAAAAAATCATGTAGAAATAAGTGCAAAGTGCAGCATCAAAACATAATGTTACACAGTTTTTTATGCTCATCACACTGTTATGACATTACTATTCTTTAATGCATCATGTTTCACTGTATTGGCCCAAGATGTTAAAGAAGTAAACAGCTTTGTCACGCTTATGATATTACTTCCATGCCAACTCGCAATATATGCCTTTGTTTTCTGGAGCATGTCATGGTGACTCATAACTTCCAGCTTTTGTGAACTGAATTTTTCACTCCCGCACGGTCTTTTTGCGATAAAATTTTTCACTCCCACCCTATTTCAAAAGCGATTCTAGCTCACTGCAATAAGTCTGCATTAGCGGGCTGGCTGATAAGCGTTTTCGGCATTCAAGCAGATCCTTCAGTGCGACCACCACTGGCTTGTCGCGTGACCGGAAACTGGCTGGAATCACTAGATTTTTGCAAGTTTACTAATACAATATTAAATTTGCGCACAATTCCCGCCGTTGCCCTGCGATTCCGCCCAGCCGGACAGGGCGTGTATTGTTCTGCGCCTATCAAGCCGGTCGGCCCAGACCCGTGCCACAAACCCGGCACGTCGCACGGCTGGGCTCAACACCTCCGTCAAGCGCGGCCTTGCGCCAATCCACTCTTCGTATTATGCACTGCTTAATGTCCATAATCGAAAATCAACATCAAATCAAAATAAAAAATATTCAGCACATCAGAATTGTGTATCAAAAATCAAACGGGCGTAAGTGAAAAAGCTCAAATGGATCAAGTACAAAAGCTCAAATGGGCGTAAGCAAAAAAAAAACAACGACAAACAAACAAACAAAAACATCAGTTTCTCCACGTCACTTGTGGAATCAGCTGTAGCTCTGCCTATGCAAGGTCTCATGATTGTGTACCAATTTGCTTCGCAGTCGTCAGCTTGATGGAAAATCATCAATTCGATGATGATGCTGATGACTTATGATGACGGCGACGCACGGAGCGAACCGTCTTCTTCTTTGTAACTCTAACCTTCGTCCTTGTTCTTTGTCCAGATTGTTTCTCCTTGTGAACGCGAAAATTCCTACACAGAGGTTGCTACAGACCCGTACCCTCAGCTTACCCCGATGTCAACTCACAGGCAATCATCATAATCAGATCGTGACTAATGGAAAGACAATTGTGTTGACAGGCTCGATGGCACACCACGCACTTCTGCCATGCCCTGGTATGTCACTGACATTCCGCTTGGTTGGATGGCCTTGAATGGCGGCGGGATATTCACGACAGGAAATACTGTACAGTACTCGTTGGATCCCTGCCGCTTGCCCACCTCGTTTCCGCGGGCTATGCTTCCATACGTCCATCTATACGTACCTTACCAGCATTTTGAAAGTATTAAATTGACGGAAATGCAATACTGCTGTCCTTTCATCTTCACTTTCGCCCGCATTTGAGTACAACCAAAAGACATTTACCGTAAGTCGTCTCACTAGCTGTTTTCAAATACGTCTTTCGCGCCCAGAAACCGTTCATCACATGACCAGGAACACGAGAATGTGACTGTCCCAGAAAGCGCCCAGAAAGGCCACAGACGACGCTGCCGGCCGCTACGCCCGTAGAGAGCGCCCAGAAAGGCCACAGACGACGCTGCCGGCCACCACGCCCGCAGAGAGCGCCCAGAAAGGCCACAGACGACGCTGCCGGCCGCTTCGTCCGCAGAGAGCGCCCAGAAAGGCCGCAGACGACGCTGCCGGCCGTTACGTCCGCAGAGAGCACCCACCTTTTCAGGAGCCGGTTGAAGCTGTGCTGGCGCGCCGCCTTGTCGGCGTGTGTCGTCCGGTCATCCAGACTGCACATAGACAGCTGAAACGGCAGAAAATACGGCCGTCACTAGCCTCACACGGACACCTCATCCGGCCTCATGACCAAGGTGCCTGCCGGCTCTTCTCCCTCGGTGTACGGATTGGGAGGACTTATGTCCGCAAAACTATGCCAGGTGACGACGGGCAGTGGGTTCAAGGGCAAGGAATGCCTCAGTTGGTCAGCCCTTGCACACAAGTTCACCGGGTTCGGAAGCCGTATCCCTAAGGAAGGACTGTCCCCCTACCATCGCCCTCTTTCACCGTCCATGCCGTCCACACACACACACGTACACGCGCACGCGCACGCACACGCACACGCACAGCACACGCAACGCACACGCACACGCACACGCACACGCACACGCACACGCACACGCACACGCACACGCACACGCACACGCACACGCACACGCACACGCACACGCACACGCACACGCACACGCACACGCACACGCACACGCACACGCACACGCACACGCACACGCACACGCACACGCACACGCACGCACACACACACACACACACACACACACACACACACACACACACACACACACACACACATCTCGTTCTGACGTCCCGTCCGCGCGGGGCGGCGCCGCCACCTCCAGCGGCATCGGCTCACCTGCAGCGAGTGGTAACAGGGCTGCTCGCCGTTGATGACGACCACGCACGTGAAAGAGAAGCCGGCCGCCGAGGTATGGCCAGCGACCGAGTGCAGCAACTCCACCGTCCCATTGTACACATACTGGTAGTTGTTGGCCGGGTCCAGGTACTCGTCTGCGGGCCAGGGTGCACCACATTATCGTCCGGCCGCTGCATGCGTTGCGTCGGCCGGCGATGGCGGCGGCAGTGGCGGTAGCGGTCGGCTCCGGCCAGGACGCCAGCCGGTCAGGAGCACGCCGCCGCTCCGCCGCCACAATAGCGCGGCAGCGCTGCCAGCGGCGCGCTGCCGGCCGCGCGTGTCACCGTGCGCAGAGCCTTTTTTGGACCCTGCCGCTCGCAGGCGGCCTGGACCGGCCTACCTGCCCGGACGCGGCAGAGCACGAGAACCCAGCGATAATATCGCTGAGAGGAGCAGTGCTGGCGGGAATTTGGAGAACTCTAGTAAGCTGCACCAGGAAATGGGCTTACCTCCTTCGTGACCAGATGTCGTCGGCATGATACGCACGGTGTCTAACATACCTGCTTTATGACAACCGGTCCCCAAAGGTGCACCGAAACCGGCTGCATCATAAAAACATTGCGCATTTCTCGTGAATTTCCTACGAACACCATTTCAGCATAAAACACGCCAGCGAAAGGCTCTTGCACCGAAATACCGGCCAGCTCAGTCCCGTCAGGGGCCGCCTGGCAGGGGAAGCCGTCATCAAACACAGAAAGATCCAAACATCGTGACCTCTATTCTTTCGTCTTCGTGTGTTTTCGACAGAGCGTCAATGTCCCGCTTCCCTTTATTCCCACATCATGGTGCAGCAAACTGCATCCAGTCAAGGCATGCAAAAGATCAAAATTCACGGATATGACCACTGTAAGGATCGAGAGTATACATTTTCTACGAGGCCAGGAAGAATCGGCCCAAGCGGTCAATGTCGGCCATTCGCTGGGAGCCGGATGGCAGATATTCTAGTTAACTTTACGAATGATGCACGGCAGACGCGCAGGATCCTTAGGAATGTTGGGTCGGTCTGAGACTGCTCCGGCACGGGATCTCAAATTTATGCAGGCAAACGAAGCTGGCATGCAGCTCGTAATGCGAGGGAAATGCATGGCACGAGTTAGTAGACAAATGCTTCCTTGTTTTATAGCAAGGCATCCACTTAATGGCCGTTTTATAAGGTAAGTTTTCGAAGCAGAAGACATCACGGACAACTCCACGGTCTTTGTGCTTACTGATCAGCACGAATGTGTATGGTATGCGCTGCCATCACATACCACCTATGTCGGCCAACTACATTTGAATGGACGCCAAATCATGCTGTGATCATCGACCACCACCAAACGTGCAACCCGAATGTTGTGTGCAAATTACATGCGCACCTCCCCAGTGGCTATAAACAGCATGCAAAAGGCAGAGCGGCTGATAAAATTCCTGGGATGCCATCCGCCTAGCGATCAAGCGGGGCGGGCCAGGGCCGCGCTTCAGACCAAACAATCTGAGATAAACAACCCACAACTGCCCTAGCACGCTCCAAACGTCACCAATCAGGGGAAAAGGGCGTCGCAAAACCCCTGCTGTACAGAGCACACACCACACCAGGCGTATGCAGCATGGGAGCGTTGGGGTCTGCCCCGTCCCGACCCCCGGAGGCCGCCTGGCAGACCTGCTGCAGGCCAGCAGCTGCCGGGCATCATCGGCTGATGTGACGAGGAGCGCTGCCGTCGACCGCTGACAGGTCCATACAGCGACAGAGCCGCCGGAGCGGGGACCCACGCACCGGCGGGCGCACGGGCCACGGCCCGCCGCCAGTGGGCCGCATACTGAGGATCTGGGCCGCGCCACTACCAGTGGGCCGCATACCGGGGATCTGGGCCGCGCCGCCGCCAGTGGGCCGCATACCGGGGATCTGGGCCGCGCCGCCGCCAGTGGGCCGCATACCGGGGATCTGGGCCGCGCCGCCGCCAGTGGGCCGCATACTGAGGATCTGGGCCGCGCCGCCGCCAGTGGGCCGCATACCGGGGATCTGGGCCGCGCCGCCGCCAGTGGGCCGCATACCGGGGATCTGGGCCGCGCCGCCGCCAGTGGGCCGCATACCGGGGATCTGGGCCGCGCCGCCGCCAGTGGGCCGCATACCAGGGATCTGGGCCGCGCCACCACCAGTGGGCCGCATACCAGGGATCTGGGCCGCGCCGCCGCCAGCGGGCCGCATACCGGGGATCTGGGCCGCGCCGCCGCCAGTGGGCCGCATACCGGGGATCTGGGCCGCGCCGCCGCCAGTGGGCCGCATACCGGGGATCTGGGCCGCGCCGCCGCCAGTGGGCCGCATACCGGGGATCTGGGCCGCGCCGCCGCCAGTGGGCCGCATACCAGGGATCTGGGCCGCGCCACCACCAGTGGGCCGCATACCAGGGATCTGGGCCGCGCCGCCGCCAGCGGGCCGCATACCGGGGATCTGGGCCGCGCCGCCGCCAGTGGGCCGCATACCGGGGATCTGGGCCGCGCCGCCGCCAGTGGGCCGCATACCGGGGATCTGGGCCGCGCCGCCGCCAGTGGGCCGCATACCAGGGATCTGGGCCGCGCCGCCACCAGCGGCCGCAGGGTGGGTCAGGGCCCCACACTTCGCCCAGCCGCCCAGAGTCCCAGTGTCTAGGGCTCAGGTGACCTGCTACCTACAGTCAGAGTGTCTGCAGGACTCAGCCCCAAAGTGAACACAGTCAGGGGGTGGAGGCACCACTCCGAAGTTCTACGCTCTCGTGTACCCGGACAGTCGCAGACTTGCAGCAGCGCCGTACAACCGTCACCAAAAGTGAAGAAGGCAAACTTAATTTCAATTTTCAACTCAGGCACTTCCATGCATCACCAATGAGTTACACTTTCACAAAAGGGCACCGTGGCAGAGGGAAAGAGGAACGAGGGCAGACAGAGCGCAGAGGGTCTCTCATGCCATTGCCCTCTCACAGCCCGCGTGAGACCGAGGGAGGACGCACATACTCGAGATTAGTGCGTTTAAGCTGTCTCTTTGCATTGGACGCCCCTGCTGCAGTGTCTGAGCCCCCTCCCCCCCGAAGGCGCAGCCTCTCGTCAGCATCCGGGGTGGTTCTCTGCTTGCGCCGCGGATGTCCTGATCAGTCGCAAACAGTCACAAAAACCGTCTGGGGCGTCGCGCAACAGCCGGCCGCCAGCTGACCGCGTCGGGGCGGACAAAGAGGCGGCCGGCGGCGGCACGCATCCGCCCCCGCACAGCGGGTACGGCCCTCAGATCGGCCCAGTCGGATGCCGCACCGCTCCGATTCATCTGGGAGTCGTTTCAGCATACATTTCTCGCCTGCTGTTTTTGTCGCCATTCCGAGGTGATGCTGCAGCGCCTTGTGATCTCCAGACTTGACATGGCTCCCGATTCACCCCCGAAAACGCCTCCACCCGTCAGCGTCGCTAAGCCAGAACTCACGTCGCTCGGGGCAGAGCTTGCGACAATTCTACAGCTCCCGGGCAGAGACGGGAACCAGACACCTTCGGAGTGTCGTTAAGACGGGCACCAGACACCTTCGGAGCGTCGTTAAGACGGGCACCAGACACCTTCGGAGCGTCGTTAAGACGGGCACCAGACACCTTCGGAGTGTCGTTAAGATAGGCACCAGACACCTTCGGAGTGTCGTTAAGACGGGCACCAGACACCTCCGGAGTGTCTTTAAGACGGGCACCAGACACCTTCGGAGTGTCGTTAAGCATTTATGAAAAGAGCGAAAGTTTGATGCATCACAGCTTAAGTTGCCCGGCACACGCATGGGCAGGTGTGTTCTTGGCTGCAATGTCCCGACCTCCCCTCGATGAAAGGGATGAGGATGCTCGTCCACAAACGTGATGTGATCGTCGGTGTGAAGTGAAGGCCAGGACGTCAATATCGCCAGGGAGTCCGTGTTTGCGCTCAGTTCGGCTGCTCGTCTGGCATACGTGCGCTCGGTGCCTTGGCACGGCGAACAAAGGTTCCCTTTGATCTTTCTATGAAAGGCAAGGTCCACACGTATGTGAGCACTTCTAGATCCTGGAGCTTCGCTGCCTTGTGTGCAGGATCCCGGTATGACGTCACAGAGAAGCAGTCGTCACCAGCCGCGCGCGCGCTTGCGGAATGAGCTGGCTGGCCGGGCTCCGTGCCGCCGCGGTCCCGCCAGACGGCTCAGCTCTGGCCCCACCCTGCGTCAGCTGCCCGTGTCAGGCCAAGTCCCAATACGGCCTCACCGCTTATGGAGAAAGGCTTTTCCACTATTCGCGTACAACTGGAAAACCCGTGGAGACTGTTGGTGGCGGCCTTTCAAAGCCAGCGCGACGGCGTGAACCTCGTTCGACAGGTAAGCCGTTTAACGGCGAATAAGCACGCAGGCGTGACAACTACAAGTATGCCCAAAACAGCATCGCTCTCCATCTCACTTCCTACAGAGCTCATACCAAAATATTGAGCATTCAGCATGGCACACGGGCTGACCAAACAGGATCTCTCTGTATCCGTTCCGGTCACTGGATGAACGGCAGCGTCAGCCAGAGCGTGTAGAACGCGGACCACGCGGACGTGCCGCCGTAGATGACACAAATGTTCGTGAGCGTCTCGCACTTTCCCGATATCTCGGCGAATGGTATGCTGGGCGTCGCTAGCTGACTCATGCCTCAGTCAAGACCGCACATTCCTCCAATGTTTCTCCCCAGGTAGGTCGCACTTTACGTGCTGGATAGTGCATTTTGCCATGGCTCATTCTTGATTCCCTATTATTGAGGTAAACCATAACCGAAGTGCCTACGCTCCAGTTTAGTTTTGTAATTCAAGCTAGGATTTTGCATTCGGTCCAGTGCCCCTCGTTTCCTTGCTGTTTTTGTGCCGTCAGCTTCCACTCCGACATATCCCGTGACATGCCACGAGGATGACAATGGCCGTTCTATGTTGGGATAATACATAGCAAGACTGCCGATCGACATTGCTCATTGCATTGCTCCTCTAAGGTCCCTAAGCCATTGCTCGGTCGCGTGCAGCGGGAGACCACAGGCGGTGGGGGGAGGGGGGGGGGGGGATAAATCGGGTCACCGTTATGATCTCTAAATATCATGAAGCGGTGACGGGAAAGTCGGGTATCTGCACGTCTCTGGCCCACCAGCAGCCCCGAATCGCTTTCAGATTTACAATTTCAGGATGCTCATAACATGTTGCAAGTGTTATTCAATCCCCGCCCTGATAAGGCCGGATATTCAATCCCGTAAGATTTTATGATGATATCTCTCCGGCACAACGTGTAATGACGTCTAAACTTTTGCTTTACTCTGGGGCATTCATTGCGCGTGTTTTGACACACAAAAACGTAGCCCTGGCAGTTCTTATTTCTGAGAAGTAGTGACCACACAGGACCACTGCGCGGCGATCCATGGTCGGCGCGAGCGTCCGGGGGAGCCGACAAATCCGCTGATCGCCCGCGGCCCGCAGATGCAGTTTTTTTTTGGGGGGGGAGGGAATGCGACGCACATCGTTACGCCCCAGTATGTAACGCCAAACCAGGGCCCCTGAGCCATGGCGCAACCGAGAGTCGACCCGGGCCCCTCACGCGGGAGACGTGACCACTGACTTATCCATCGCTCCGCCGGTAACCACTGCACGTCCGACGCGCCCAACACTCCGGGCCCCTCACGCGGGAGACGTGACCACTGACTTATCCATCGCTCCACCGGTAACCACTGCACGTCCGACGCGCCCAACACTCCGGGCCCCTCACGCGGGAGACGTGACCACTGACATCGCTCCACCGGCAACCACTGCACGTCCGACGCGCCCAACGCTCGGCCACTGCGCCGCCTCCGGTACGACACCGTTACATTAACCAGGCCCCACATCACACATGTATCCTCAGAAGACACCAAACTACATATCACTGTGCTAACAATTAAACAAGGAATGCGTTTGTTATAGCTGCATGTTTCTACGCGGCATGATTTCGTCAAAAAAGTGCATAAAGGTGAAATAGTTGTCATTTCAAGAAAAACGCCTTTGACTTGTCCTAGTGGGGTCAATTATTGATCTCCAACATAAGTCCTTACAAATCGCGAGATGTTGAGACCAATCCATTGTTGTATTTTTCCGCGCGGTTCTGTCTGTCTTAGTCTTGAAACGGTAGATGAAGTACCGACTAACGCTCCCCATCGATCCGTTCCGTGTCATAAAAAACGGCAAATCAAGGAGAGAGTTAAAATGTACATAGCAAGGGTGCCAGCGCCGTCGAGGGAGGGGGCGGCTAATTTGTTCTTGTGCCGTTGTACTATTGAATACATTCGTAGTCCACTGAGAGGAAATATGAGCTTAGTTATGTACATATATGTATATATATATATATATATATATATATATATATATATATATATATTAAGATTATGTCGATTCGTCACACTAGCACCGACAACGGCACCTTGCGAGGCCAATATCGCTTGTTATGCATTCTCCCAAGCATCAGACACAGCACACCACCTGATGCCAATTTGACGCCCGGGCAGACCAATTTTTGATCACACACACTTCATACCTACTTCATATGATGTGTTATTTGTGCTAAAACAGCAAGGCAAGCAAGATAGATATCCCGTTGCCACAAATGGACGCCCAGTACTATCGCACGACCGGCTGCTGCACCTCCGGGATCAAACCCGCCCCTGAATGCTAACAAAACTTCAGTTTGCCCAAACATGTCAGCGGATTGCTTAGCACACGCTCCGGTGGGGGAGGGCAATTTGATTCCCCCCCCCCCCCCCCCGTCGCCCCAGAGGTTTTTCCGGAATGGTTTCCGAACGGCGCGACGTAACCACGCCAAATGTTGATAGGTGTGGAATATTGAGTACCAAATCGTTTGGTATCACAACTCCAGATGTACCTTGTAGGGTCGCTGACCTACGGCAGGTCACAGTCAGGCCAAGGATTCAGTTAAGACAATTTGTAGAGAATCGTTCAATCTGATGCGACGACGGTGTGTTCGGCGAAACCATACATCTCTGAGATAGTTTCTTAGAGAACACAACAATTAAATGAACAAATCCCATTGACCTAAGGTCATGTATAAATGTCAGACCAAGGTCAAAACCAACCTGCCATATCACCCTAGACCTTGCTATGTGTGGTAGTTTTTGGTGCTCATTTCAAATTTATTGATAACAGGAACCCTATTGTATTTCTTCTATGGACTTAACACACGTCAGAAGAGGTCATTAACCTAAAAAGACACAGATTAACATGCTGCTTTTGGGAGCATGCTACCAGCGTAACCTTCGACGCGCATCTAAATGCAAAGCTCACAGCAGTCTTGCATGATTTGGATCACCATGATTGCATGATTTGGATCACCATGATTCGTCAAAGGTCAAACAAGGCACTGGACTTACATGAGCGCCAGTGACCTTTTGCTTAGTACAGGTATCTGGGTTCTGGGAGCACTTTGGACACCCTGTGGATTAGGCGTCTCTAGTTCCCTTGGTTTTTGAGACCTCCGGGGGCAAAATGACCCACCCCCACCCCACCCGAGCGAAGGGTATTCAACCGATCACCCGGGCGCGTGATAAGGCAGCACATACTCCGCAATTTGCAGCAGGCCACGGGATTGGCTGACTTTTGCACGCAGCCACCATGAAACAAAATGATGACGTGGCCCTCGATTGTTGTCAGTTTTAGATGCATTTATTTTAGCCGGAAACGATTAAGACTGGTCGGAAAAGCCGATTGCTGTTGCTATGAGACACCGGTTAAGCAAACACAAATGATACACAGATTAGTTAAAGCACATTATAAATTGCTCTTGCGATAAAAATTAAGCTCCTTTTCGACAATTTCCGGTAGTGAGCCTGACCACAATCGGTAACTGGTGGATACGAAACCAACACCTTGGCGAACTTGTCTTCCTGCGTCGTCCCTTCCCTTTTATGGAGCACCAGCGACTGCATTGGCCATGCTGGCACTCAGGAGCCACGGCGCCACCGGGATTCCAGCCCGGGCTTCCCGCGTGCCATTCCGGCGCACCACTCGGCCATTACGCCCCCGACCTGTCTTCCTAAAACAGGGTCATAAATAAAAACTAAATGCAAACTTTTACGCCATGTTACGTGTTTATGCCACGTCACAGAAATATGCAATGCATACCATGAAGAAGCTTCTCGCGCCCACCTTGTTGGAAAAAGATTGCATATCATCGGAGGGCGGGACACAGGGTCGGCTCTTCTCGTACCCAACCTCCCACAACCAGGCTTCCAAAGCATTGAAGCCGCGGCTGATCAAAACAGGGCATCAAGACCAAGTGTGAGCTAGCTGCACAAGTTCAACCACATCCCCATTCTGTCCACTGATGAGGCCCCGCAATCCGGACAAATCTTCTTTTCTATTCTTTTCTCCGTACTAGCTGTCTGAGCGGCAACACTAAAACCTCCCGACTGGCATGGTACGATGAAATAGCGGTCCACACCACTGGGGCTGGGAGCCGGTGAGGCAGTCCAGCCAGACTTGGGTGCAAACAGATCACTCCAGCCAGATGTGGGTGAAAACATATCACCCCAGCCAGACGTGAGTCTGACTGGGGTGATATGTTTCAGAGAGCAGAACACTCCAGCCAAACGTGGGTGAAAACATATCACCCCAGCCAGACGTGAGTCTGACTGGGGCGATATGTTTCAGAGAGCAGAACACTCCAGCCAGATGTGGGTGAGAGCAGATCACTCCAGCCAGATGTGGGTGAGAGCAGATCACTCCAGCCAGACGTGGGTGAGAGCGGATCACTCCAGCCAGACGTGGGTGAGAGCAGACCACTCCAGCCAGACACAGGCGAGAGCAGAACACCCCCCACCAGACGTGGGTGAGAGCAGACCACCCCAGCAAGACGTAGGTGAGACCCGACCACCCCTGCCAGACACAGGTGAGAGCAGACCACCCCAGCAAGACGTGGGTGAGAGCAGACCACCCCAGCCGCGACCGCACACCGTGCCGGTCACTCACCCGCCAGATTGCACGGCCCGTCGTCCGCTGCGGCAGAGCTGACCAGTCCTGGAATGAAGCGGACGCTGCCGTCAGGACCGTCGGTGCCCTCCGCCGCGCCAAGCTCCACAAGCGCGCGCGCGGCGATGGGAGACGGATAGACAGATAAGTTGATCAACAGGCAGATATACACAATAAGGGATAACAGACATACGTTTCCACACTTTCACACCACGGATCGAATGCTCTCTGGTGTTCGTATTCCCCGAACTGGTCCCGACAGCCGTAGTGGAGGACACACCGCTGTGGTGACCACAGAGCACAAGTCTGGGCGGGGAGGCCCCGCCTGGCAGCCCCGCCCGGTCACCCCAGTGACACGGCCCGTGCGTGAGATGTCTAAGAAGCGCAGGAGTGCCGCGTCCACGACACTGGTCACGCGCACGTACTCCCACCTTGTTCCAGCGAGCTCAACCGCAATACATGGTATTCAGCCCCCCCCCTCCTCCTTTCTCGGCGCGAGCTACCACGTCCCTATCCCCCATCCCTCCTCTTTCATTCTACATCCGTTCCAGGCGGTCACACAGTTTTCAGTCTGCATACAGAGCATGACACGATCATGAGCCAGGAAATGACCAATGAATGCCGGCCTGCGCTGTACAGTCCTGCGCACCGCACTAGAAACGACCAATTGCCTCCTGCACGCGGAGGTGGCGCTCTATATCCCATCTCCGGTATAATGACGCGCTCCCTCCGCCGCCAGGTCCTTATTTTTGGCATTGGAGACATTCGCTTCATGGACTGAACACCATCATATCGAAATCGGGGGAGCCTCGGGCAGTCCCTGCCGCCGCACGGCCTCCGCGGGAAGAAGTTCGTTAGATAGTGATCAGGTGCAGGAGATAATGGCGGAAATGGGCTCCGAAAAAACCTCAGCCGCGCGCAGCCGACATTACGCCACGCGCAAGACCGAGTGTGCGTGACTTGGCGCGCTGACGGGTCGATGTGCTCTCCGACCGAGTCTGCGTGACCTGGCGCGCTGACGGGTCGATGTGCTCTCCGGCCGGGCCGGCACGCGGTCGCAGCTGCCGCACGTGCAGCCGGGACAGCGCGACGGGCAATGCTGTTCTGACGTCTGCTGAGGACGGCCTGGCGCCCGCCGGCCGCTGGGGATGGTCTGGTGCCCGCCGGTCGCTGGGGACGCTCTGGCGTCCGACGTCCGCTGGGGATGGTGTGGCGTCCCACGTTCGCTGGGGACGCTCTGGCGTGCCACGTGCGCTGGGGATGGTCTGGCGTCCGACGTCCGCTGGGGATGGTGTGGCGTCCGACGTCCGCTGGGGATGGTGTGGCGTCCGACGTCCGCTGGGGATGGTCTGGCGCCCGCAAACCGCTGGGGATGGTCTGGCGCCCGCCGACCGCTGGGGATGGCCTGGCGTCCGACGTCCGCTGGGGATGGTCTGGTGTCCGACGTCCGCTGGGGATGGCGTGGCGTCCGACGTCCGCTGGGGAGGGTCTGGCGTCCGACGTCCGCTGGGGATGGTCTGGCGCCCGCCGGCCGCTGGGGATGGTCTGGCGTCCGACGTCCGCTGGGGTCGCTCTGGTGTCCGACGTCCGCTGGGGATGGTGTGGCGTCCGACGTCCGCTAGGGACGGTCTGGCGTCCGACGTCCGCTGGGGATGGTCTGGTGCCCGCCGGCCGCTCGTCGGCGGCAGGTAAGCTTGACATGTTTTACATACGGCCGCGTCAGTGACACCGCGGGATCTTGGACGTGACCCCCAGCCCCCATTCCGACCTCGATACTGGGGCCCATGGGTAGATACGCCACCATCAGTGGAGCGGATCATCCACCACAGCGAGCGCAATGACACCAGCCTGGTAACAAAGACAGCAATCGAGAGCGTGTGCCGCACATGGCAGTCCTGTGTAGAGGAAGCGCGATCCGGGACTATCCCGCTGCCGGCAGCACCTACCTCCGCTGATGAGCGTCAGCAGCAGCAGGCTCTCGGCTGGAGCGCGGCCGCCCCGCATGGTCCGGCGCGTCTCCGGTGCCCCGCCTCGCGCCCACACACTCCACGGCCGTCACGCGCCGACTGATGGGGCCGGCCAGGCGCGGCTCGGCCGCTGCCACCCGGCGACCGCCCACTGCCGGCCGGCACAAACACACATGTCAGGCGGGCGCCACCGGTTGGGCCGGCGGCCCGCGCCGGCCGCGGCCGCCACAGACGAGCGCCACCCGGTGTCGGCGTCCGCGCCGGTCGCGGCTGACCAGCATCGCAGGAGGCCACCGCCGGGCTGGCCTGCTTCGGGGCCGGCCCACCGACAGCACGCCAAAATCGGGTGCTGTGCTTCATCACAGCAGGGCATGCCACGAAGCTTGACGGGATTAGGTGCTGGTATTCAACGACACTGATCGCACTGGATACACGGCATTATAGAATCGTCATTATGTCACACGATGCTGGTAACGGGCCGTCAATAAATTATGTGACGTTTTGTATGATTGATCCCCCAAACCCATGCAACACTTTGTTACGGTCCGGCATTAAACTTCCCGGTAACAAGTCATACCCATTTTCCGGTGTTATTGTTGTTATCATTATAGTATATCAGTGCAATATGTATGCATTTATTTACGCTGGGTCGTAACGGAGACCTCGCAATAAATGCACGGGGGGGGGGGGGGGCAACACTCAAACCTGTTCTCTGAAAGCAGAATCCTAGTGCGCCGTGTCCGCGCAATAGTTCTTGCATGACATATGACATCATTGCATGCATTTAATCTACATATTCTTGAGCTTCGATCACGATTTTTGTAAATGCTGACCTTTTACATCAATCGTAATGCATGCCAAAATTTGACAAAGGTTCACAGCATTTATCATGGCTGGCACAGCCTTTGCTAGTTCTAACTACATTTGGAACGGAGAATGTCAGGTCTAATTTGATGAAAAATAAGTACCACTATATTCATAAGCAAAATAAGTACCACTATATTCATCTACGACATCCCAGCACGTGTAACATCATCGACGAAATGATTCGATCATTAGAGCCAGTGAACCAAGGCCTCCATTGAGGAATATCCATTGGGCTGAATTGCTTGCCCACAGAAAATAGCCTTAAATGATGTTATACACAGGTGGATATCTCAATGAAGACTCGTTCCACTGTCGGGGGGGGGGGGGGGGATTTCACTCCATGGGGAAGGGGGATTTCACGACGCTGGAGGGGCTCTTCCTCTCCAGTGGGCGTGCTTGAGGTGGGCCTGGAGTAAACGCACGCGTAATGAGCAGTCACACTGGACAATGAGCCGTGATTCTCGCGAAGTAGCGGCAGCCAAGATTCCCCGCCGGTCCGTATCACCATCGCCCGCGCGGGCCCGCGCCCGTCAATCCATAGTCCATATCTCCACGGCCATGAATGACAATATATTCGGAAATCAAGTTCACAGAGCGTTCGGTTCAACTACCAACATGCACAAAAGTTACACAGCAGGATCCAACGGGAACTGGTCCATGCCTCCCTCCCCCCATGGCCCATGTCGGCAAAATCGAGATATTCCCATGCCCTGAAGAAAACATAAGCACCCTTTGACCGTGGGCGGTATGTCTGGAGCATTCCTTGAGGTTTAATGAAGCAAAACCTGATGATCTTTCTTTAAATCAGGACATCCGATTAGATATCTAAAGGCAACATTCCTGATTTGATCCCCTAAAAAGTGACCTATCATGTATGTTGGGCATTGCTGGCCAAACCATGTAAATTAACGGGAAAATAGGGTGCTGTAAATGGTGTATGTTCACAACTACAAATGCCATTTGCTAAATTCAGTCAGCTGGTTTAACAGCGTGAAGTAATTGTCTTGTTCTTAAAGGGAGTGCCCCACCTTTGCATGGGATTTTGAACTGAAGTTGCCATCTTGAAGACCTTTCGATGCAGTTCATGGTCGTGCCCTTTTTAAGACCCAAAACCCTCTGGTTCGTGGGTTACACGCCCGCAAAAGTGGGAAAATGTTTATTGGGAGATTACTTCCGTAACCTTGGTAATGATGTCGTAATAGAAACGTCATACGATCCCCGTTATATTGCAGGCTGTTGTCCGCTAATGGTCAAAGCAGCATGGCCGCTGATACATTCGCAAAAGCGAAGATGATGCAAGCATGATACAATCCGCGGAAGGTGATTGGCTTTTGGTAAGATTTCGCTGCTGAACGCGTGTCGCAAAGGCATGCGTGAGCACTTTCGCGTTGTGCGACACTTATTGTCAACGGATAATTTTTCCATATTTCTAGGCCATTGGTAAATGTTGTAAAAAAGAGCGCCACTGTCTGGAAAAAGTACGGCACACAAAAACGGCACTCTCCCCAATGTTATAAAAAAGAAGACGCAGCAGCCAATCTGTCTTTTTGCTCCCGTCAGCTTTTTTCTACTGGCGCATCTCTTACAGACAGCTCGGTTGGCGCATTGTGCACCGGAGCAAAGAACTTTGCACGGGTTTGTGGGTTAGCAAGGCATTATAGAATTAGGGAAATATTATAGTAATTTAGGTATATATTTTTCAAAATATTTAGCACATGCTGTACAACACATTGAAATCTTGCACAAGAAAAGTAAGACACGCTTTTCTTCTTCAAGATTTAAACTACCTTTTTTAGTTAATTTTAAAAATTATCACCTCTTGAGTTGCATTACCATAAAACCCCACTGGGACGTTGTTTCCAAGGAACCTCACGGTGGAATGCAGTGTTATAACCGAAAACATGTGCGGAAATTGTGAGAAAACCTGCAATTTGATCGTCCCGCGGGCTGTGCAGGTGTGGGACCACACTTATTTGACACCAGAGTGTGAATCAGGCGCTTGAAATGGATGAAATGGAAATGCTGGACTAGAACTGCTACCGCAAAATGTTTGAGGAGCACATCCGTGAAATTGAATACAAATGCAAGACAAGTGAGCCGCAGTGGAAGACAAAACGCCTCAAAGAACTGATAAACATCCGCAATAGGGCGCACAGTCGTCATCAAATGTACAGACTACAAAAACTTAGAGCCAAAATATGCCTAGAAATTACAGCTGCAAAAACGGCATGATACAGGAGACGAATACAAATAATTGCTTTTGACCGAAGAGTGTTGGTACAGACAAGTGGCCACCTTAACCAACGGAAAACCAAAACCATGGAGCCTTGATTTTGCGGGAGCCAATGCCGACAAATCAAAAGCGAAATTAGTAAATCAGTTTTTAGCACGAATATGCACAACGTATGGACCGCTGCGCACAGAAGAGCTTCTCTGCTATCTGCCCGCCAATAACATTCCTGCTGAGATACAGTCGTGGCAAGTTGCCTTTCAACTATCGCAGTTGAGAGAAAATATGGCCGTGCCCACTGGACAACTTCTAGTGCGGCTACTAAAGGAGTTTTCTGTGGAACTGGCCGTACCACTTACTCATATTTTCAACCGGTCATTGCATGAAGGGTGCGTGCCATTGGTGTGGAAGAGAGCAACAATCACCCCTGTGCCAAAGGAAACATCGCCCAAGTTGCCAGGAGATCTGAGACCGCTAAGCCTCACACCGACTTTAAGCAAAGTTTTGGAAAAAATATTGTTCCGCAAATTCTGGCGGATATAAAACCAGGCATAGATAAGTGCCAATACGGAGATATGAAAGATGCCTCAACGTCACACTATTTAATTGGGTTGTTGCATGATTTGCTGACGGAGTTAGACGAAACAGACAAATTATTTTCTATGGTTATGCACGATTTTAAGAAGGGATTTGACATCATCGATTACACAACAGTTATCCAGAACATGCTTGGAATACGACTTGCTCCAGGTATGCAAAGTGGCTTTGCTCATTCTCACAGGACTGACAGCAGCGGGTCAAGATGCCAGATGGAGCAATGAGTCGTTGGAGAACGATAGCATGCGGCACTCCACAAGGCACCTTAGTTGGCACGGTTGCTTTCCTGGCTATGGTTAATGATGCCGCTGCTGATGACATGTCATGGCAAACACGTGGATGGTTTTGTAACCAAAGCATCGAAAGCTCTATATGCGCTCTACATAATGAAGAAGTACCATCCATCACAGGAACAGCTTGTTTGTGTGTATGTTACTTCATCCGGTCATTGCTAGAATATTGTGCACCGGTTTTTCATGCGGGACTCACTGCCAAGCAGGCGCAACACCTTGAGAAAGTGCAGAAAAGAGCCTTGAAAATCATCTTTGGTCATTCGGAAAAGTCCTCGCGCACATCTTGCAACGCTTGGGCATGGAAACCCTCGCTGACAGAAGAGAAAAGCTATGCCTAAGGTTAGGAAAATAAATGCAATCGTCTCCCATCCATAGAGATCTGCTTCCGAGGCAGCGAGTGGCGATCTCCGGCAGAAATATCAGGAGCGCAAAACACTCCAAACGTTTTGCTGTGGTATGCGACTATGCAAATCAAGTATTCCCCATATAACCACTCTTATAAACACATGTATTATCAGCTAAGTAGTATCCTACTTCACATGCGTGTTGTGCACATTGCTATATGAGTTGATGCTCGAAGCCATGCTTATCTCAATGAACCGTTTCTCTCTCGCTCTCTCTTGCTCTCGCTGTCTCCATCTCAGTCTCTGTCTCTGTCTCAGAACCATTTACCAAAAACTAGGGTTGCCTAAGTATACCTAGCAATGACTGTCCATTTCCACTGGGGCAGGGGAGAAAAAGTCACATTACTGAATTAAAACATCTGAGCATCACGAATGATTTTTAGGCAACCTTCCACACATCAGCATGGTTATTAGCCCCAGGCAGGCAGGGATTCAGACAAGATCAGGCCCTGACCTGCTGAGGCTGGGAAACCTGTGACCTCAACTGGGGGCCTGATAACTGACCAGGAGGGAAAGAGGAAATGTAGTAAGTTACTTACTACACACAGCCGTGAAAGTGCCAAAGATAGTTAGCAGGCCTTAAGACAGCTCAATGCTTTGGGTGTCAGAAGACCCTGCGCACCAAAGGTAGCCGGAGAGCCTTAAAACAGGGTACCAACAATAATAAATTCATCCTTAGAATTCACAGGATCCAGAATGCTGTGAAGATGCAAGCCACAGTAAAGGAATTCACTTGAAGGCTTCAGTCTCTGACTTGAGCCACAAGATTGATGTGACCTTCTGGAGAGCCCCTGGAATCTTAAGGACCCACCATGGCTGAATGGATGCACAACATGAATGGTGTCACTGACCATCAAAGCATGCCTCATGTCTAGCTAAGAAACTCTGTGTAGCTTGATGTTGAAGACTATCATGTTTTGATGTAAAATAGTATACATGCAGGACTATCAATAATCATGTCATAAGCCTGATTGCTAATTTTTCCACTTTGCCAAATAGACAAGTTTGTATGAGGACTGAAGTGTGCTTAGTGGGGACATCAATTCACCCCCCCCCCCCCAAAAAAAAGTTTTCCTGAATGATTTCTGAATCCATGGTGGTTGCATGAGAAGGTGATGCAACCATTATGGACACCAACCTGAGGTCTGACCCTGTCTAACCTTATTTGGCCTACAGGTCATGACCTGGCAGCCTCAACAGTTGGCACAAGGAAGTTTGCATACAGGCCAACACACCCTGTAAATTTGGAGTCTCCAGGTCTTAGTTTGTAATGTTTCAGTGGGGTCAAATCGACCTGTCACCTGGGCAAATGGCATCCAACCACATTAAATTAAAAGAATGACACCACTCAGTCTCTTCACAAGGGTCACTGTGAAGCCTCAAGTGTGCTAAAGAATATTCCATGAGATGGATTACCTCACCCTACTCTCCTACCAAAAGATAATTCCCCAAGCTCCAGCTTACTGTTATACTGACATTTGTATTATCTCACTACAATATAAGTCAATGACTTGTTTTTGCTACTACCCTGCAATACAATAATGAGCTAGGTCTTATATCTTGCTTCTCTTACCAGGTCCCCATCTTCTCATTCCAATGGGGTCTAGATCACACAAAACACTGTTAAATAATCACCAAAAATTAACTACTTATCAAACAAAACTCAACTGGATTACAAGGATCAAGACTGCAAATTGCACAGCAGAGTATGTAAAAACACCATTAGAGGAAGTGAGGCCTTTCAGTGGTCAATGAGTACACATGATAGGGTCCTCCTTTGTACAGGACCAACCATCTATGAATTCATGTATTTTGAACTATTTTTCAATTCCACCCATCTGCCTAGCTACACAATGATTGTGCTTGGTTGAACATTCCCCCTGGTTACATTACTTCAAGTGTAATGCACCCAAAAGAAACATCAGTTTGTTCTGTAAGTCCTCTAGAGGTGTAAAGCAAACAATGGGACAAATGATAGCCAGCAAGGAACTTCCTCAGGTTTGAGAGCTTCATAAGTTTCACAAATTTAATAAAATATCAATTTCATCAGAAACCTAAAAAGCCTTCTAAATCTAACACATTCATTTCTCAAATTAAGATTTGAAGCTGATTCACCACAAAAAATCCTAACTATACAGCAAACATTCCTAGCAGTGCCTGCAGACAATACAAAAATGTTCTATGTCTCGAACACAGCATAATTTTGCTGGTGACTAGCACAGCGGGAACACTGCAAAAACCCCATCCCAGTGAAAAGTATATAACCTTGCAGACAAGTCTGCAAGCTTGACAATGCCTTTTACATCTAGCATCCGAACTTACCTATTGACGCTTCAGACAATTCCTCACAACATTCCCCAGGTAACCGTGCTCCAATGTTCCCTCCGTATGTTACTCTCCTCACACTTAAACAGTGTACATGCGGCACTCGCCCAAGTACGACATCCACGCACGAACCTCGCTCTCTTCCCCGCCCCAACACGTGAATCAAACACACGTTCAAGGCCTTATAAAACGGGTAACACTTCCGATGCCTCTCTCTTTTTCTTCCCTTACCGTTAGAGAAACGTCACTGAAGTCAAAATTTCAATGTGTGGCGTTAGGAAGGGGAACAATGTGATATGACATGTATAACAATAAAGGCTTGATCGACCAGGGGACTCCTCCACCGTATCGCCGGAGTAACAGCCGAAAGCCAATGACACCTCGTGGTTTATATATATATATATATATATATATATATATATATATATATATGGACACACCCGTAAACATAAACACACACACATATAACCATGACGATTCATTTTCCAAAATCATTTTTTAAGCAGCGCTATGAAGTCATCCAAGGTCAAGCTCGGTCGACCTATGATCTTTGTGGACAGATTTGCTTTTTGAAGGTTCTTATGTGACGTTAAATGACCTTTAATCTCTCAAAGTTCCCTAATATCGCTGGATGGGTCAATGCTACAACAGCCTTCCCCGCCTCGATCTGGCATGACATATCGCATGGGTACCGAAAGTGTAGGGCTGCGCATCTAGGAAACCAGAGGTACGGGGTTTGATTCTGCGCGGTGCCGACTCTCCCTGCCAGGATAAGAGGCAGGCGACGCCACATAGCCTCAGCATCTGAGTGCGCTGTAAAGTGACATACACGCAAGTAAATCGCATCATGGGTCAAATCTGGCGATGTTCACTATTTTTACTCCAGCAAATCTTTCCTAACCCATATGACGCCAGCATCTGCCTTGTCTTGGCAATCTTAGGTCTTGGCATAACAGGAGGCAGCTATGATTTCTGATTAGATTCATATGACCTGATTGACCTGTCCAATATTACGTTCACCCATATGCAATCACACTCATCCAATGCAGCGTGATGAAAGCTTTACAATGCCGTGTTTGTCGTCGCCATAACTTCTAGTTTCCAACATCTTTCGGGAGGCTCTGAGGCCCCATCGTTGGGCGAATGTGAAAAACTCCTATAAGGTCGAGCCCTGTCATGGTCGGATTTGTCCTTTCCTGTCTTGAACAGAACATATAAGCGTGCGCTGGCCAGGACAGGGCGAGCTTTGCGCTATCTGTTTTCTGTTTTTCATTCTGGCCGCTTTGTCCTCTGTTCTCCACTTTCTGCCCTCTGTACTCAATCCTGGGATTTCTGCCCCCCCCCCCCCCCACCCGAGTCCTCTGTGGTCTGTCCTGTCCCGTCATTGTTATATCTCTGACGTCGGAGTGTACGTCACGGCGGCCTTTACCTACAGTCTATTTTTCAGCGCTGTTGCTAGCATGATGAGTAAGAGGAACGTTTCGTTAAGTTTCGTTTGATGCTCAGAAACCTTGACAAAAAAAATGTCGCATGATCTGAAACGCATGCTGGGAAAAAGTGCATCCATACAAGGTGGTTTGTTCAAAATACATCTCCGAAATACGGAGCCCCTAACGTTCCGGTGTCAACAGTACGTTGTGTCCATGATATCTAAAAATCTAATCGTCTAATCAAAAAATCCAAACAGTAGTTATCCCAGGCAACTTCACCCAGGCATTAATGTAACATATGTGACATGCTTGACGACGTTACAGACAGTGCAGATTATCTTTAAATCATTGAAATCATCAGTGCCCTCAGAGCAACTGAAACTACTATTTCCAAACCAATATCAGACAAGTGTACCAGCGATATTGGCCGCAGAGCTGTGTAACTAGGTGAAACGAAAGAACGTTTCCTTGTCCGTTAGGATCATACCATGCAACTAGAATTTTGAAGGGCATGTCAGTCCAGGCTGAGGTCATATCGGTCCACGCTAACATCATGTCAGTCCAGGCTAAGGTCATGTCAGTTCAGACTAAGGTCATGCCAGTTCAGGCTTAGGCCATGTCAGTTCAGGCTAAGGTCATGTCAGCTCAGGACAAGACCATGTCAGTTCAGGCTTAGGTCAGTTCAGGTTAAGGTCATGTCAGGTCAGGTTTGTTTATCTGATGCAATGGTTCCGCTTCTCCGGTCACAAGAATTTCGCCTCATGTGACGTCCAATGGTAACCTAATGTAGGTAGTCTCGTGTGGTGTGAACGAACCTTGCTGGAGGACAACTCAAACCATGGTCGAGAATCTTATGTTTGTCACGACGCTGGAAGCTACCATGACTTTACCGGCATTTTTTTCATCCCAGTGTTCGCAGGGATAGCAAAGCGAGAAAAAATTTTGGCTAATCAAAACCTTTTCCATCGTATGTCATGGGCTGGCCACCCCAGCCGACTAAAAACTCACTTCAAGATGTGAAATGATTTAAGGTGTAGACGATGGAAGGAATTTTCTTGGCTGGACCAAAAGTAAACTCAACTTTACCATGACTTTGTCTGCCAAGCGTGCCGTTCTGTTACGGTCTCCCGTCTTCACTCTTAGAATTTCAGATGCATCTGAATGTCTTTTTTCAGGTGCACGGGCTCCTCCGTTCACGGGGTCCGTCGTGGCCCGCTCTGTCGTCAAGCCTACAGATTCGGCGCGGTATCGTCAGTAACAGCACCATATCACCAGTTTCGACGTAGTTTCACTGTCTTCGGCGCATCATCGTCATCTTCGTGGCATCACGATTAAGGGCTGCGTAAATCCTGCCAAATCACTACTTGACAAATCTTAGAACTCTTCCATCCTCGAATTCCAAAGCCTGGTTCGGGCAGCCCACACGCGTAACGGGACGAGATGTAGCGGGTGCTGCCTCTTTGGACAACTAACTGACCTTAAATTGGGACACACCGATGGGTATCCAGCGTTGATGCTCTGAAGCAAAGTTATTGTGACGGCACTGGCTCTGTTGCTGTGCATCTAAACTGTCGCAGAGTATCAGCTGTTCTATAGGACCGCCTATTTGTCTCAGGTGCGATGCTGGGAGCACTGGCATGGTATAGCGATCTCCTCCGCCATGTCACGTTTGTTGGCACGTTTCCTGTTCAGGAAAATGTAGTGGAATGTGTACAGTCAGCTCAGAGATGCAACTTGTGTGTGCTCGTTTAAATGTACTTTATTGCTGGCACGGGCCATGTGACATTCCATGTGAACCATTGAAATACTAATAAATGTCATTGTGCATGGTGCGTTGTGCGTTGATTTCCATCTACCTTATGTATGAGTGAAGGTGACATCAAAAATTACACAATGGAAACAGATGTGGAGTTTTCGGGAAATTTTAGAGAGCAAAACGAAGCTTGGGGTTGTGTGAAACTGTAAAGAAGAAAGAATGTGTTGGGGAAGAGTCGAGGAACGCAATGAAGGTTCGTGATGAAAATCTTCATAAGTTTATCAGATTTAACCGATCTTTTCCACCTTATAATCCTGTTTTGTCAGCGTTCGCGCTTTTATATATTAATAACATCAATAGATATTAAAAATTTAAGAGACTTTTGGATATGCGGGGCGGGGAGGGCGTGGATAGTACCGTAGTATGGTAGATATACAGATGCATAGTACACTACTACACTAGTAAATGGTGGCACACCAAGGGGGGGGGGGGCATTACCTTTCCCGGTCAGTGGCTTAAGAACCTTTCCACCCCAGCGCAAGGTATTCACCAGTTGCTAATTCGCGACATGGGGATTGGGCCCCTTGGTCCATTCGGAGGCCCTCAGGGAATGTATCGTATATCAGTCCCCTCTCCGACGCAGGTTGTCTTCCGACCGGAGCAGCTGCAGCTGGATCGAAGCAGTGGCTCTCACTGAGGTAAAAAAAGACCACTTACGGGCACAGTGGGTCCAACAATTTGCACAGGGGACCCAGTTCCACTCAACGAGCCACTGGTCGAAGCGGGTTAGAGGGCTCTCGTTCGTTACTGAGGCCTCCCGTGAGAATCGGAGCACTTCTACCGTCTCATTGGCTCATGTATCCTTACACTGCCGTCAATCTTCTGTCGTTCTCAGAGGCCCCGAACCAACTGAGAAGGCCTGTGGTGAGCTGTGATGGGTACCAGATGGGCCTCTGGCCGGCTCGAGCAGCACAGATTTTCCTATTAGGTATGCAGTGTGGTCAGAGGACATCCTGTCCGACAAGGGAACCCCGACCAATGCGACTCGCGAGGTCTTCTGAATGTCGTTCGCGGGGCCAGACCTTTTCCATGCTTGGAAAATGGGCCTCAGTCCGACAAACGGCCGACTGTCGGTGATCTCGACCGAAGTGAGGGACTTCTTCACGGGGGCCCTTTTCACCGCCAGAGACACTCTGATTGGCATTTGAGGACCCCGGCTCCTCGGACTGGAGACTCCTGACCAGCCCCTCGGCCCTTCGAGCCCTACAATCGGGCTGTTGATTGTCAATCCCGAGACACCCGCCGGCTCCCGAGGGATCGAAGGGGCCAGGTGCCCCTTGTGCCTGCTCCCTCCTCCCCCTCCCTTGCCTGCGTCCGTATGTGAGATGGCATCGTATCAACGATGGCGGCAAATGCGTACCCCTGAAAGTACCTATAAGATTCCTCATGTTCCAAACAGGTCAACTTTATAACGCTGCGTGGGTCAGAGCTTCATGAAACTAGATCACATTGCATGTCTGGCGCTTGTAATTATCTAGGACTGGTCACCCATCTCAGTGTAATAATATCAGCATGAAACACCGCACTCGTTACACCGGGCCCAGTACGTTGCAACCAATCATGTGCATATCGGAGCGCCGGTTATGAGCCTTCAGGCTTTGTTATGTATATATAACACGAAAGGAGCGTTTTCCTATAGCGCCAGGCAAAAAACGGTTTTTGGACGTAGCTAGGTCCAAAACTGAATTATTTCAAAAGTTTAAGAAGTTCAGTCTTCTTTTGAAGCCTCGCATTACCTACAAATTACTACGTGAAGATCCGTTGGCCAGTATTCTTCCCGTACTGACTGAAATTAAGATTCAACACTACGCTCCAACAGTAAGCTACATATACATGAACGGAAATAAGACATCACGTCGGCGTGCTGATTTCGGGCCCCACAACTTTGTATTCATGA